TTTTCGGTTCAGCTTTGGGTAAATTTGCAGTTTTGTGTGTTGTTGCTGTGGCAACTTAGAAAGTAAAAGGTTCTTTGTGCTTTCTTTAAAGGAAAACTTAGCATTGGTGCCGACGCTGTCCAGCGCGGGGTGGAAGGGCTCACGTATCTTCTCACGGAAAGCTCCAAGCTGATGGTGAGGGTACCTGGCTGCCATGAACTCGGGATATGCTCAGCAGATGTTTGAAACACTTACAGCTCTGAAAATACTGATGAGTGGGGAAAACCTAGTTCAGCACAAGGTTAAACAGCCCTTATGTTTGTCTGATGCTGTCGTTTTGGGAGCTTTTTCATCTCCTGACATGAGAAGTTTGGGTGGGTGTAAGCATTGAAAGAACAATAGCTGGGTAATTACAGTTTCCATTGGAAAGATTTTTACTATTGATACAGTAGAATATTTGTACGATGAGACACGGAGAAGGGGTTCAGAGAAGAGTAATTCCAAATTAAACTCATGCAGGGGTGGTTCTGGAGAGTAGGTGGGGAAAGGATTAAATTTTGCAGAATCTTCCCTTGAAGTAACATGACTGACAGATGAATGATAGTGTGTTCTAGTAGAATATAGTTGATCACAGAATGTGTTTAGGGTGTGAGTGCACTGTAAGGGCACGACCTTTTGAGGTGAACAAATAGCTGCATCCACAGTGATGAGCCAGGCTCCTCCAGCCCAGGACAAAGAGGCTACTCTGAGTTCTGTAGCACATACCTGGTGCTCACGTACAGGTGTAGACATTCAGATCACTTCAGAGTGTTTATAGTGCAAGTATAAATGTTACGTTAACTTACTGTTGATAAATTGATTGTTAAAATACGTATTTTCCCATGACAAAGCTCAGATACTGTTTTATGTTGCAGTTAGTTCTCTGATATGAAGGCTTAAAAGTGAGGATGTTGAGTGTTTTCCTTAAAAAAAAACCTATTCTGAAACCATTCCTGAAGCTCATGCAAATCAGCAGTAATAGATAAACATGAGAAAATCCCTTAAAACCTGGATGTTTTCTTTTGTCCTTGCTGTAGAATTGTACTCACATACTCCTGCAGGAAAATAACTGCACCATACAACATGGAATGTTTCCTTACAGTTTTGTTTTCCAACAAGTAATGATTATTACATAGTCCCATATTAAGGCCTAAATTGTTGTTCCTAGATTTCAGAGATTGACTTCCAAGATTCCATTAGTGTTTTGGGATTCTCAGATGAATTGAACAAATTATTGCTCCAGCTGTATCTTGATAACAGGAAGGAGATCAGGAGCATTCTTAGTGAGCTGGCACCAAAGCTTCCTAGCTATCACAATCTTGAGTGGAGACTGGATGTGCAGGTAATTTATGTTTCAGTATTCTGTATTTTAATTTACATTTTTAACACGATAAACAATTATTAAACCATGAATGTATATTACTTCAAAGTAATTGAGGCAAAAGTTTTAAATTTCTTTAAAACTGACATCGTTTTGTTATTGCAACAAAGATAGTTGTGAGTCAAACAGGATATGTAGTCTTTGTTGCTTTATGAAATTGGAATTGGTAGGTCCATTTAAAAATGTTAGCCTATGCTAAGTGTACCTGGTCTTAATTATCACTTAATTTTCAGGATTACTATGAAAGCATTGATTTAAGTGTATTAGTACTGCCTCAGTAAAACTAAGTAACAGATTGTGTTTTATTTTTAATGTGGATGGAAAGGATTTTAAACCTTGCAGGCCAGTCCTGCAAACCTGTTGTGAATTGTAGGCAGGAGAGTGGGAAACCATCCTTTGTTTGTTTCCTTATTCCACTTCATCCCATCTCCCTGTGCAGCTTGCAAGCAGAAGTTTGAGACAACAGATCAAACCTGCTGTGACCATAAAGCTCCACCTTACTGAGAATGAAGGTGAAACTGCCCAGGTGTTGCAAACCGACCCTGCCACCCTCCTCCACCTCATTCAGCAGCTGGAACAAGCCCTGGGGGAGATGAAGACAAACCATTGCAGGAGAATCGTGCGCAACATGAAGTAGTGTTGGTTGGTGGCTGTTGTCTTACTGAGCACTTTGTGAAGCAACTAAAAACTATGTTCACAAGTATGTTTTGAGGAAAAATAAACATCTGGATCAGATGAGATGCTTTCCTGTGCCAGGCTCTTCAGCAGTAATTATAGGCTGCATGTCCTCTGGTGTGAACTTTACACACCTGCCTGATAAGTGCTGGGTAGCTGGTTTGGCTTTAGTGCACGTGCAGAGATTCAGCATGCTATGCTGAGAATTTCCCTAGCTCTAAATTAGTGTAGTTCTACTTGAGATTTCCTACAATAAGTAGAGCTGTCTCAATACTTTATGAAGCTGCACATGTATTTTTACATTTATCAAGTAGGTTTTCCATGTAGTTTTGGATTCAGTTGGCACAGAGGCTGAGTCTGACACTGCTTTTATAATGAGATAAAATACTACCATGCTAATACCTCATTGCAACAAGACTAGCTACAACCCCTGGCAGGCAGTGTCATGCTTTCAGCAGGGAGCAGTTACTGCAGGAAACCCAGTGGCCTAAACATGAGTTAGCATTCTGGTTGTTTCAGATAAGCTTTACATACAGAAATACCTCAGGACTAAAACTCTGGGCTAGGGGGAGATTAAGAATAGTGTTAACTATAGTAGTGTTAATAGTGTTAAGTCTGATCTTCATGTCATGCAACAATTTTTGTTCCCCGATTGGATACTGTGCTCAGAAGGGGAAGACTAGCTAAGTATTGCAGCATAAAGGATGCTTTTCCCTTTTTAAGAAAAACACCTCACGAAAGTTGGGTCGAAAGTCACTTTTCAGTTGTATTCCAATGCAATATATTGTAGCTTTTGTGACTCAGATTTAATAGTTTTCCTAATTGATGTTATAACATCACAAGTGAGGGTGCCTCTAAGCCCCTGAAATTTATCTGGAAGGACAAACACGCCAGAGAGAACATTAACATACAGACTCTGGCAATAACTGTGTTTACTGTCTTCCATAGCAACACCACATGTTTCTGTGTCAGCTGGGCTCCTGCAGTTGCTAATGTATTGTTTTGTTGTTCTGAATTTTTGAACCTTTGAGAGATATTATTTCCAATAAAACCTGCACAGCAGAAGTGCTTTAATCATGGACACTTCCTGCACTTAAAGCCCCTCAGTTTCCTGGCACATGGAGTTGCTGCATCTGCAGTGGCTTCGTGCAGCATGATGATGGTTTCCTCTCCCATGGATCAGTGTCTCATTACTGCCCATATGTGGTGACTTTTTCATAGCATTTTTTTCACATATAGTATGTGGTAATTAAATGTGATCAAATGTTAATACTTTGGATTTCCAATTAGTATTTTTTCTGTAATTGGCCTACATTTTCAGGTGAAATACAGGAACAGCCTAGATGTGGGTCAGTGGTTTCTCTTTGCTCCATCTCTCCTTACTGTAGCCATAGTCTAGAACTGATGGCAGCAAAATAGAATTCATAGATACAAGTCCTAGAAGCTTTTCTTGTCTCTCATTACTGCCCTATGAATCTGAAGATACTTACCTTTCTGTCTCTTGATTATGTTTTTTTTAAAAAGAAAACTAGCTGCTGTAGAGGTAGTTGCATCCTACTAAATGTTGGCAATTTACACGTGTCATGTCTTGACGCACATGCAAGAAGAGAAGGGGAGGGTTTCACTTGGTGATCATGAGTAAAATGGAGACTTCAACTGGATTTTGTGAATGACAGGATGTCACTGGAAAGCCTGAATAATTCCCTTTCTGGAAGCTGCTTACCGGTACAAACTGTGGCACTGAACAGCTGTGCTTCCTCTAACAAAAAAAGACCTGGGCTGAGGGTGGTCAAGGTGAAATTTAAAAGCTGGGTTTAAATTTGAAGAAACTCTTAAGTGTGGCAGTGATCCATGAACAGGGTCAAAAAGAAAAGGAGAAAAGTGACACGTAAAGCTGTATTTTATATAATCTGTTTCTTATGATTTTGCAGTTGCGTTATAGAAACCTTTGAACAAGACATGGGGAGTACAAAGCATTAACCACAAGCTATTAAAAAAAATAAATGTAACGTTGCTACTTTTAACCCATTTTATTTTTAACAGACTTAAAAAAATTTCCTCTGGTGTCTACCCACTAAAAGCAAAGTGAAATTTGAGGCCATTTCACTACTATTTCTTTGCAAGTCTGGAAGAACTGATTGCTTATTTTATAACAGAAAAAAGGTGACTTTTAAGTTACCTCTTAAAAAGTGACTTAAGTTTTCTAACCAATGTAATTTGCAGGCAGTGCAGCATCTTAATCTTGAAATAATTGACAAACATCAATTGAGTTCTGAATAATTTGTGAGGAATAGAGTGTATTACTATTTAATCTTTAGGAATATACTCAATATGAAACATAATCTGTTACCCTTAGAGTGGAACCTCTGTATGTTTTACTGCAAATCTAACTTTGTTTTGCAGAACAGCCCTTCCTGTGTGTCCAGCAGCTTTTGGTGGTGTGAAGTCAGCAGCCTGTGACTAGCTCCTCAGCACCTTTTGGACAGATCGTTAAACTCAGGTGAACTTCATGCCAGTGCAGAGTCCATGTGTATGGAACAACTGAAAATACAAGTGGTTTAAGAATCACCTAGGTTATTTTCTTAAAAGCAGAGTAAGCCTCAGCCCTTAGCTATTTCCTTCTCAATAGATTTGTATCCCAATGTATTTTTTCCTGGTCTAAACAGCAGAGGGCAGAATGTTTTTTTATAATCTGTGGAGGACAAGCGTCACTATACAATTATTTCCAGTGTTTGTGTTCCCATGAGAATTGTTCATAGTCTCAAGACTTATCCTATAATGTATCTCACCTTATATTTTCCAAATTCAGGATCAATTTTAAACTGCACACAATAAAATGTCCAGTCTTCAATTACTGAGAACATTGTTTCTTGAACCTGCTAATTAATTTGCTAAGCTGCTTGGCATATGTAAGTATATAGAACCCAATTCTTAAAACTCAGGTCGACATAATTTGTTTGGTGGTGTAAAATGTTTGTGGTTTTTTAAACACTCAGTAAACTCAAGAAGCGATTCTTCCCTCCCCCCCTTTTTTTTTTCTAATCCCTTTGAATGAACTCTCTATGATCACTGTGGATTTTGTAAAATCCATTAAGTTTCTAATCTAAATTTTAATCAACTCCCCATCACTGAAGCGTTTAGACTCTCCTACAGGCTTTATTTTCTTGTACTTTGGCTTGTCCCTGCCACACTTCTTTGCAAGCTTTTAATATACTAAATGCATTTTCACCTTTTAATTGGCTAATTGACTAGATGGGGAAAACTGTTCTCATTTAAACAGCTATGGAGTTGGTTTATATGTACACACACAAATAGAATCAGTCCCTGAACTTTGGATTAGGCCTACAATTCCCATTGAACAGAAAACCAACTTAACTAAGATACTGCCTTAACACTGTATTTTGAATGTAATGATGAATGTATTAGACCTGTTCTAAATTTCGTGCAGTTTATGATAGTTTCCATGTAGAGGCTCAGGGGCATGAATGGCAATTTTGTTTCTGTTCCAGTTTTTGTTCAGGA